AATCAATTTTCATTCTTGAACAAATCAATACACTAATGAAACATATTGGCATAACTTCGTGTTTTAATCGATTATACAACTTATGTAATCGATTACTACACAACTATTTGCCCTTGTTAAGCATACAAGTGATCTCGAGAAATCTAAAAGATTATATATATATATATATATATATATATATATATATTGCTTAACCGATTATTTCTACCATAAATGATATGTTCAATATGTTTAAAACATGATTCATTTACAAACAATGAATTCATATATCAAGCACAAACACAATAAAGATAAAGCAATTGTTATGCCATTTGTTGTGCAAGAAACTATAAAATCATTCTTTTGTTCATTATAAAAAACATAGATATTCTTTATTCTAAGACTATAATTTCATATTTGATTGAAAGGCATTTTCGACCGAGTCTTCTTCATGCCTTTTCAATATTTGTTCGTAAGCTTCAAGAGTGTAGGGAGGTTCAACACACACATAGATCTCCACATTGGTAAGATATTGTCCGCTTTGGGTCAAGCCTTCACAAATTTGCTCTTAGTTGGAAATGCTTATGCTGGAGGGGGAGTGTACCTATGTGGAAGGGACTCACCCTTGAGGGGGAGATTGTTAGGAATCCAAGTGAGTCTAAGTCCCACATTGGATAGAAATGAGAAAGTAGAACACTATATAAAGGTGAAGACCCATTAACCCATTGACTTTGGATGAAGAGTGGTGGCAATCCTTTACATGGTTAGACTCATCTCATTTGGTATTGTGTCTCCCAGATGAACCTTCTCCTCGATAGACCCAACAAAAAAAAACAAAAAATAATAATTGTCGGGGTTTTTATATTCTTTTTAAGATTTGTTTTGTTGTGATATACATACATATGATATGTTTACGATTTTGCTTCCGCGATTCATTTACAAAACTTAAGAAACAAATAATCTCAACCTTGTTACCGAAATAAATACAAAATTCAATTTTCTCTCCTTTACTTTTATAAATTTTAAATAATATCTTTAAGAAAAGTATAAGAATTTTAAAAGAACATTTTTATACTTTTCATTTTCACACTAGATTTTAGGGCGAATTTAAATTTGGGTTGAAACATTTATACTAGATTTTAATTTCAAATATTATGTAAACAAGATAAAAGTAAAATTTATTTAAAAATTATAATTTTTTCTTAATTTAATTAAGTTTTGAGTCCCTTTAAACTCAGAAACTTTCAATTGAGTCAGTAATAAATGTTTATGATCTATTACATATTTACCATATTTGTAGTTTTCAATTGAATTCTTGGTGTTTAACTTTTTAGTTAATTGTATAATGTAATATAAAGTGTAGAGTAAAGTTCTGATTTTTATATAAAATTATAACATTATAAAATTATAAATTATACAATTAGAAAATTATAAAATCATGATTTCATCATAAAATTATAAAATTAACTATAAAATTACCTATGATTATAACTAAAAAAACGAGTAAGACAATATTAACATCATCCACTTAACAACATATACTTTTGGAATGAATAGAGTTTAACTTGAGACTGAATCATATATGCTTGGAATGAATAATGCTTTTAGCATATTAATTGAAGCTTATTTGGTTAATTTGAACTCTCTTATTTTAATTATTTCAATAACAATCATTTGGAAAACAATGAAGAATCCAATTCTGAGATAGATGTGTAATCAAATTTCCTAACTTCATGAGCACTTTGAAACATTTGAAGGATTCATCGAGAGTAGTCATCAAGACAAGACAGGAGGAGTTAGCTGCTAAAAAATGCATCAGAGAAACACATCAGAAAAGGGTCTAAACTATTGTGAGATGTTATTGAACCCCATGACAAATTCCCCTCAATCAAGAGGATATTGGAAGCTGCCAAGATGCCATTTAAGCCAAACCAACAAGCTTCTCACTTATCTCCCAAACCTTGCGAGCCTTATCTGCATCACTGGCTTCTTGTGACAATTGATTTTCAAATGAAGCAGAGGCCTTGTTCCAGCTCCAGTAGACACCTGATTTTGTTAGGCTTGGATCACTCACAACCTGTACAAGGTTAAAACAGTTCAAATATGAGACACAAAGACTCTTCAAACGCTCATTCCAACAAAAAAGTATATAACCATCTCCATAGTCTCTTATTGGTCATTTGTACTACCTGTGCAAGCCGCTTTCCCGATTCATCTTCGGAGACAAAGCCCTTGGTTATGAACTTTTGGAATGGAGGGAAGAGAAGTCTGAATAAGGGAATGTGTTCTCTGAACAAGCCTGTTGTGGCAATGCAACCCGGGTAGAGGGAAGCAAATGTGATTCCAGTTTCTTCATGGTATCTTCTGTGAAATTCTTGCATGGTAAGCATATTGCAGACTTTGCTGTCCTTGTACGCCTTGGCTCCATCAAAGGATCCTCCATCTATCATGGATGAAGTGTTTAGTCCATTCAAGCCTCCAGCTAGTCCCCTCAAGTCACCAAGATTTGCCTTGGGTGGCACATTTCCAGCCAAGGTGTTGGTGTTTCCTATTTGGTTAACAAAATCGTCAGCACCAATAATGGCTAACAAGAGAATATCCACAAAACATTGTCTATCATTTGTGATGATCATGTGGATACTACTCATAGAAATGTGTCAAAAAGTATGATACTAGCTAATATTTTTCTCTACTAAGAGGCATGTCAACAGTATACGACGGACACTCTCTTTTAAGTCTTCAATATTCAGTGAAATTCCCATGAATATCATTCCCATTCCCTATTTACTAGAACTCATTAGTTTCATCTCATAATAGTGCATTATAAACGAATGCATCAGATAGCAAGTTGAAAGCATTTCTCTTGATGAACATCTTAGTTAATTATACCTGTGATTGAGCCAACAATGATCAACCTCCTAGAAGGGTAATCAGATTTGTTCAAGTCCTCAAGCAACAGGCGTGAAAGCAGGAAATGCCCCAAATGGTTAGTTCCAACACTTAGTTCAAAGCCATCAGCAGTGTATGTAGGTTCACTTGCAGTTGGGAAGTAAACTGCAGCATTGCAAACAAGCACATCCAGTGGCCTGCCTGATTGCCTGAAGTTGTCCACAAATTGCCTAACACTATCAAGGGAGGCAAGGTCCAAATGCATAACAGTGTAGTTTTCCTTAGGAATGCCAACAGCTTTTGCAGCCCTTTCAGCTTTGAGGAAATCCCTGCAAGCCATTATCACATGCCACTTTCCTGTCTCAGCCAATGCCTTAGCAGTGGCCAAGCCCAATCCAGAGGAAGCCCCAGTGATAATAACACTGCCTTTCCTCAAAGTTTTCTTGCCTTCTGGTGAAGCCTTTGTGACTCCTGGAGTTGTTGCCACTGATTGGACCCTTAAAGGGCAAACTTTTTGCTGGAATTCCCTCTGATTAAGTGTAAATTGAAATAAGTTTGTTTGTGTTTTGACGAAGTACAACATTATGCACAAGAAACCAACACATCATGCAAAGTCCATGAAAGCTATATCCTAGGGTGTTTCTATTTTACATTCACAAGGTAATAAAGGATATGTTCAGCATATTACTACGTTAAAAGGTTAGTAACATTTCTACTGAAGTTATACACTGAATTGAATGTAATAACAAAGTAGAAATGAAGTAATATTATGTTACGATATAGTTACTTTGCATGAAAATGAGAGAGAGCTGAAGTCCGCTTTGAGAGCGTCTTCCAATGAAAGACCAAACATTGTGGTGTTCCTAAGAGACATGCCAGGCTTCCCCTGAATGAAGAAAAAACCACATTTCCCAAAGCTTTAGTTATATGTTATCTCTTCAAATAGAACACTAAAAGAGAAAAGATATGCTAATGTGACAGAATGAAGCAAACCTCTTTGGCAAAAGACAAGTAAGCAGAAACCAAGGAAGCAGCCTGGACAGCCATTGGAACTTGAGAGAGAGAAAATTATAAATTGGGTCTGTTGTTTTGGAATAATCCACTCAATTGAATGAAGCGGGAATGTGATTGTGATGAATTTATACAGTGAAGTGTTATTTTGGATATGAGAGGATAAGATAGTTTGCAGCATGTGCACATGCCAGGTCACTTCAAACGGGCCAATGAGGTTGTCAGTTTTAGATTTCTGGTGATATTTTTCTTAATAAGAGATATTTTGATTCGTTGCAGGTATCAACAGTGAACATCGATGATGAAAGGGATTGTAAATGGAAGCACATCTAGAGTAGAAGGCAAGAAAACAAACCTTACTTTGTCACCTATGTGGTTAGAAAGGATATGTTCACATGTTCGCAACGAAGGTCCTAGAAACTTTGAGAAGTACAACAATTAGATATACTTTTCTGACTAAATTGGGTTTTGGTTTGTAAATTAGCCTTTTTATAATTTATAGGTTTTAATTTTTAAAGTTTTAGTTCTTGCCGTCTGCCTCTGTTATCTTCAGAATGCTAAAAGTTGAATCCTTGTGGACACCACGGCATAAATTTAAGGCTTAATACCTCTTTTTGTCCCTCTTTTTAAGGGAAATGTTCACTTTCGTCCTAACTTTTTCAAAAAGTTCAATTTGGTCCCACGTTGTGAAAAAAGTGTCCAAGTTAATCCTTTTTGGTCACGGCGTTAAATATTTAACGATTCTGCTGCCAGCTAGGAGTGTGGTGTGCAACGTGGCTTTTTACTTGCGTAACGTGGCAATGACAGTTTAGGGTTTAACTGAGAACGTGGCAGTGAGATTAAAATTGTGATTGTTAGGGTTTGATTTGGGTATTTCGAAATTGGTCTTTAAGGATAAGCATTTTGGAGAACCTGCAAATCAAATTTGGGTGATCTTGAAGGTGAAATCTGCAGAGGATATCGAATTCCGCAAATCAAATCAGGTTAGAGGTTTTTCGAAAATGTTTTCATTGTTGTCGCGTTTGAGGGGGTTTAACTATGGGTGAAAGGTGAAATTGTTTTATGTGGAAAGTTGTCTTAGGTGCTATTGGTCCTGGCTGCATCATTGAATGTTTTATATGATACGGTGTCTTATTTTTTTCAGCTGTTTTGAATTTGTTTTACAGATTACCATCTGGGTTAGCAGCATATCTTTTTACTCATATGCTGATATTGCATTTCTAAGTTCATCTGATGTAAGTTCTGAAATTTTGACTAATGGGAAAAAGCATATGTATGTTCAAAATTTTAATTTGTTATGCATCAAGCATTATGACTGACTTTTTTTTTTAATTTGCTCAATTTTTTAAGCGAGGCAAAGGTATCACTGATCTAAAATCTGCTCTTCAGGTACGCATCAATATCACCTGGGGTGACCACTAACACCTTGTGCTCTGTCATGACATTGCCACTTGTTTATTGTTTGTGTAGACAATTTTTGCTGAGACTCTTGTTGATAGCAAGGATGAATTCCTTCAAAAATTTATGGTGGATAACGATTTTGTTAGGTATTTTGTCTTTATTATGCTGTACATTCAACACAAAAGCAACACACTTGCCATGCAAGTTTTCTTTCCTTAGTAATGTTTGGAAACTGATTTATAAAATTGGAGGGTTGTGGATGATTTTTTAATTGATTTGCAGAACAAACATCTCAGAGGGAGAAGTTTTGAAGCACAAAGCTTTCAAGGAGAAGATTTGTGATTCTAATCAGCATACAGATTCATCTGCTTCAAATGTTGAGGTTGTATTTACATTTAGGCTCAATGTATTGCTTTTTGGTCAAGAGTTAGGCCGTATGATTATCTTAAACAAATGTTTTCCAAATTTCTAGTGCAGTTTCTCCAGTGTTGGGAGGTTTTGATCTACATTGGCCTTAATCCTGTTGACAAGTACACGGAGAACTTTGTTAGTATTATTTCCAACCATGTTAAGTATGATATCTTAGGGAAAGATTATGGGACATCTGGGAAGCAACTTTTTGATGTACCAAGTGATGATCAGGAGATATCATTTGTCATGTTCAGGTCAGAGGCCAACGAAGCTAGTAATACTGTGCAAATGGATGACAATCTGGCTAATCAAGAAGAGCAACTCCAGAAGTTAGTTCAGGAAAAGGTGAACCAAATTAAGTTGATTGCTGAAAAGGTGACCGTGCTGCATCTTGGGAACAAAGGCGTGGCTGTTGATTAAATTTGTGCTTCTCAAGATAGCACGAGATAAACAGGTCTTTCTATAAGATTATGTAATTGGTTTTACTGGGGACCAATTATAGTTTGTATTTGTGGACAATCACTCGGTAATTATTTAGGTTCTTTGTTGTAGGCTTTATTTTAAGATTCTCCTGTTGTAGGTTGTGAAGGACCAGTGATCTATTGACCTGTAATTACTGAGATTAACCAAAGCAAAGTCGATTGATTGACATTCAGTGGAGATTGTCCACTTCCAATACGTCTTGCTCGTACTTTTACCTTTGCAATTTATTTTCATCACTGAAAATCATGACACCAATTTTAAGAGAGACAAGTAGAGGTCGCCAAAGTTGGTCTTGATTTTTTATAATGTCAGGGGTCTGACATAATTACTTTCTTTAAGTTACTTATTCTATTAAGAGTTATTTTAATGTCCTAAATTTTCCATTTAAAAAGAATTTAAAAGCTAGGCTTAACCGTAAGCAAGTTTAAATAGACGTATTGAGTCCAAAAGTAATCTAATGATATATGATTAAGGGCTGAGTCAAGAAAATTGTTTGGTTTGTCCTGATTAATCATGTAATTGCGGATCTGGATTTGTTAATGTCTTTAAGCTACCCATTAATTAAAAAACATTATTGACTAGAAAAACAAATTATCATTTTTTTAGTTGAGTAGAAAATAAATTCACTACCATCCAAAGCGCCATATACATTTGTATATGGAAATATATATTTAAGAGATAAATTTTAAATTAAAATAGTAGTATAACTTTATCCAATGATAAAACCCTCTTGCACATCAATCAACCTAAAGGATAAAAATCGAAACTTCCCAGTAATTTTTATTTCAATGGATAAGATGAGTAAGAATTCATTAATAAATTATGCTCACAATTATTTCCAAAGATATTTTGGCAGTGATTTTGGTTCATTATGGTCCCTCCATCACATGGTTTTGCCAGTAGATATAGGCCTCACTCACTCGTTCGACCCCATAATATATAAATGTTCAATTTTGTAGCAGTATAAGATGCCCCAATACGTTGTTGATCAAAATACGTCCTTGGTTTTGGTGTTAGTGAGAATTGCAATGACTGGAGAAACAACTAACCAATAATTTATTTCTATACACACTGAAAATACACAACTTTTGCACAGTCCAAACATACGCCCTTTACAAAGATTCTGACCTTCTTAATCAATGCAATGGCGTCACTCGCTCTAATCCAAAAACTGATTCGTAGAGAAAAAAAAGAGAGAAATGGGATGAAGTACAAAGGAAAACAAATTAAACGAACAAACATATTTCAGACTGATTAATTTGCTACCTCATCTCACAACATACTACCAATTTGAACATCATTGGCCTTACTCACATGACAATTTCTGGCTTCAGAATATTTGACTTGATCTCCTTGTGGGGCAAAACAACACCACCATTGCTGTAAATTTCATCGCATACATGGACATCTTCTCCGAGGATGGTCATGTTATCCACTCGAGCCCATTGACCAACAGTGGAATGCCACCCAATAATACTGCTGGATATACAGGCATGCTTCTTAACCCTCACTCCTCGCATTACTGTGCAGCTTTTGAGTCTAACACCTTGTTCAATGATGCAGCCAGGACCAATAGCACCTAAAACAATTTCACCTTTCACCCATAGTTAAACCCCCTCAAACGCGACAACAATGAAAACATTTTCGAAAAACCTCTAACCTGATTTTGATTTGCGGAATTCGATATCCTCTGCAGATTTCACCTTCAAGATCACCCAAATTTGATTTGCAGGTTTTCCAAAATGCTTATCCTCAAAGACCAATTTCGAAATACCCAAATCAAACCCTAACAATCACAATTTTAATCTTACTGCCACGTTCTCAGTTAAACCCTAAACTGTCACTGCCACGTTACGCAAGTAAAAAGCCACATTGCACACCACACTCCTAGCTGGCAGCAGAATCGTTAAATATTTAACGCCGTGACCAAAAAGGATTAACTTGGACACTTTTTTCACAACGTGGGACCAAATTGAACTTTTTGAAAAAGGTAGGACGAAAGTGAACATTTCCCTTAAAAAGAGGGACAAAAACAGGTATTAAGCCTAAATTTAATCAACAATTACTGTAAAAAATGAATAATTTTTTTTTCTGTTTCTGAAATTTTAAATAAACTAATTTTGGTACGATTCCTTGAATTACACTTTTAAAATATATAAATTTAGTTTTTCTTTCATTCTAGTAAGAAAAATGTCAAAAAGATATAGTTTAGAAATAAAAAAGTACTTTGGAAAGTTAATTGAGTAATAATTCATCAATTAATTGAAATACCACGAACATAGTAAAAGTTCACAAAAGTTTATAGACACCATCATAAGACAGTTTACCGAAGTTTGGTCGAGTTATACACTAACTTTGGCATCACACGTATCATAAAGCTTAATGGAGCATTCACAAATAAATGACCAAACAAAGGCTCTCGACAAAGTCATCCCAATTGAACTCAAAAGAAGGTTGGATAAGCAAAGGAAAGGTGGTTGAAGGATTTATAAGAGGATCTATGACAGAAATATTTAGGCTAAAACATCCAAAAACATAGTTAAACGATGTTCTGTCTAAAATGTTAAAAGAGAGATTGAGATAAAAACTTAATGCTTATAATAATATCTGGAATATGTATATGACTTTTCTCGAAAACAAAATAGATTGAAATAATGTCTCTAAAAAATACATTAAAAGACTTAAAAATATGTAAGAAAGCTTAAATAAGCTAAATGTCATCTATTTAAAAAGAGACAAAAGCTAAATAAACGTTTACTTGACTAAATGATACCATAAGATCTACAAGTACCTCATTTTTTGATGAAATATATCTACACTTGGTATCTTTAAGGAAAAGAACTTAATTGTAAAATGCTAGCTAACGGTAGGAAATCAAAAGCACTTTGTTGTTCTGTGCAAGCTTTAAATGAAATTAAATACTCAACGTTCAAAAACAACAAAAGTGATAAGAAAAGTCATATATGTTGCATACACAATTTACTCTAATTTTGCAGATAAGTTATTCTACACGCATCCATAGTGCTATAGTTCAAATATCAAAATTTGGACGTTAGAGACAAAAAAGATATTCATGGAATGGAAAAGCATGCATGCTTTGACAAAATTGACTTACACAACCACTGCTATGAAAATAAAAAAGAGAAAACATAAGTGTCAAGGCTATAAACTACAAAATCTTTCTAACGAACAAATATTCATGAAGCCTATAAATAGAAGATCTCTCAAGAAGAAAATCAAGAGGATAGCTTAAGAGAAAATCTTAAGAAAGAAGAACTTACAACAACATAATCATCCTGAAGAGAAAAAGAGAAAGAGCTCAAGAAAAAGAATGCATCTGAGCTAAAGAAAAGAGAAGAGAAGAGAAAAAGAGAAAGAGATGTTCTCGAGGTTCATTGTCAAATTGCTTACTACTTTAAGAGAGAAGAGAAAAACACTTGCGAGTGCTTAGATTGCATTGTATTGTATTCAAATCCTCTTGTTAAGAGATATAGCCTGAACTACTTGTAAGAAAACATTGATTGCAATTCTAAAGAGAATTAAAACACTCACAATTGAACTCTGTTTGAGTTGAGGAATCTTGGCGCGATAGTCTAGTATCAGCAGTGGTTTGAATACTCAAGGAAATCTTGACAGGTTGCTGAATACTAGGAGTGGTTCGAATACTGAAGGAAATCTTGGCAAGTTGTTGAGTACCAGGAGCGGTGCGAATACTCAAAGGAAATCACGGTAGGGTACTGAGTACCAAGAGTGGTGCTAATACTTAGAGGAAATCTCGGCGAGGTAGCTAAGTACCAGGAGTGATGCTAATACTCATTTGTAATCGTGTAAAGATTATAGTGGAACCTTGTTAAGACTCCGACAAGTGTACCAAATCATATCAACTAATAAACATGGTAAGACCAAGTATCGTTTCCCTAGAGACTCACGGCCTAAAAAATTATGTGATTTCTTGATTAAATAAGACTTGAAAATAAACTCTTTTAGGTTTAGAATGCAAATACTGAAAAGTAAATATGCATGCAATTTGATCAATTGGACTAAAGGGCAAAGATAAACGGGTTTGATATTATGGAATGAATATGTTATTGGGGTTAGATTTCACCTAGTTTACTCTCATGTATATATGAATTCTACTTCTTCATTAATGTTAATGTCACTATCTAAAATACTTAAAACTCGATTCCTCGGCGAAGAAAGCCTATCCTTAACTATTAGTTCATACGATTCCTAGCATTCCTAATAATTAATTTTGAAGAACAGAAGCTTAAGACAACCAGAACTCATACCCCCATTCCTGAGCAATACTGCTTTTGGGAATAATTCTCCGGATCATGAATTGTAAGATACCTTCCAGTACTCATGCAAATCATACATCATGCTAAAGAATGAGTTAAACGAAGCAAGCATTACGTAAAGAAGAATTACCCTAACAATTAATGAAAGAAGCATATATAATCAAGAATCAATTCAATACATGAGAGTTTACAAAGGTTACATCATCCCCAAAAACACATAGAGTTTAGTTCC